GGCCGGGTGTAAACTCGACTAATCTCTTCTGAAGCTCAAGTTAGTCAGCATTGAAGTCATGATCACAATGTATTTTCTATTTTTAGATTGTGTACCTTGGTCTAGCTTCTTGAGAGGTATTTATACCTGAGTTTGCAATGATTGCAATACCCTTGAGTCACATCCAAGAATTTAATGGCACGCACTCATATACAAGCATCATAAGTGTCATCCCATCAAATCTTCTTATAACTAGTCTCCTCAGGTGAGTGAGCCTTTGCTCGAGAATCACCGAGCTCATCCCCCAATTATTAAATACCTCTTCTCGGTGCTTGACACTTATGCCCGAGTGTTCACTACTTAGAATAAGCACCCTCGGGTTTACCGAGGACTTCAGGTCGGTATACTGACCATTAATGTCTTGTAATGATGTCTGTCTTCACATTTTTTGAGGACCGGGACACTCATTAATGGCTTTGTTATAGCCACTCAAGACCCCATTAATGAGCTGTTAGATTCCTTTTAATGCTAGGCTCTGAGAGGCATACTCGGCCCTTCCTAACATAACTCCTCTGCGCCTTTCCAAGGCGCCCTTTGCATTCCTTAATGGTTGTAACCGTCCACGTGTTCATTTATTATTGTCAAGCCGCCTAAAGTCCTGTCAAGTTGGATTATCACTAACTAGAGTTACAACCAGAAGCTCATTACTAGGCAAATTAGTAGGTGATTCTAGAACTGGAGCGGGGAATTCAACTGACCTGGCAAGGTAGGGGTGGTTTGTACATTCTAACATCATGAATAAATCTTCAAAGTACTGAGTGGATCATTGGTACAATTACTCTGTTGCTCCCCCTAATTAGTATCCCATTGGACAAACAATGAAAGAAGGGGCTCCTCATATACCATCTCTTCATCAATAGTAGTGTTCTCTCTTTAAAGAGATAGCTGAGGAGGAGAAAAAAAGGATTCAAACTCACAAAAGGTAACATCTATGCTAACATACACCTTCTGTGATTGTGGATGGCAGCACTTATACCCCTTTTGGGTGGGAGAGTAACCAAGAAAGACACACCGCAAAGCTTTAGGATTAAGTTTCCCCCCGGATGATCTGTAATCATGTACAAAACAAACATACCCAAAAACTTTAGGAGAAAGAGAAGAAACGGAATGAACCAGTGAAATCCTTGAAAGACACTCAAGAAGGGACTAAAACTGTAGAATACTGGATGATATACAGTTAATAAGATAAGCAACAGTAAGAACTGCATCTCCCAAAAAATGCTGAGAGACATTCATAGCAAACATTAGTGAACGAACAATTTCAAGAAGATGACGGTTTTTTCTCCCCGCAACACCATTTTATTCTGTGTACTCACATAAGTGGTTTGTTAAAGAATTATCACTTTCGTTGAGGTAAAAATGAAATAACCATCAATGTACTCAGTTCCATTGTCACCTCAAAGGCTTTTGATTTTGGCATCAAACTGGGTACCAACCCTTTTATGAAAAATCAGAAACAAGAGAACACTTCATTTTTAATGTGTAATAAGTAAACCCAAGTAAGACGAGAATAAAAATAAATAAAAGTGACAAACCAACGATAACATGAAAAAGAGGCAACACTGGAAGGTCCCCACACATGAGAATGAATAATAACAAAAGGAATAGTGCTTTTATTATTAGTACTAGGATAAGAAGAACTTTTATACTTGGCCAATTCATAAGCATCACGAACAAAAAATTGCCTATTGCACTGCTACATTAAACTAAGAAAAATATGATCTAAGACACCAAATGAGGAATGCCCCAAATGTCTGTGCCACTGATGAAAGATTTGAAGGGTCGAAATAACATTTGTCTAGAGACTTCAACAAGTGGATCATGGAGAAGCTGCATCATCCAAGAGATACAAACCACCATGTGCTCTACCATTGCTAGTCATTTTCCTCGATTCCAATTCTTGAAAAACACAATGAGTTGAAAAAAAGAAACTTAACAGTTCAAGGATTTTGAAATACTACTAACAAACAATAAATTAGTAGAGAAATTGAGAACATGGAAACAAAAAAGAGAGGCGTAAGGTGGGTGACCAATTGATTGAACTTTTCTCATAAATTGAAGATAAGGATCCATCTGCCACCTTTACTTCATCCCTATCTAAATATGTAAAGTATGGAAAGAAAAGATTAGAAGAACCTATCATATGGTATGTGGCTCCAGAATCAATTAATCAAGGAGTATGCGAGGATGATGTAGTAAACACGATAGTAGATGTATCAACATGAGCAAAGTTGGAAGAAAAGGTATGGTTAGGAGCTGGAGTAGAGGAGATATCAAGCAGAGCCATCATACGTTTAAGAGTCTGCATCTCATCTTGAGAGAAATTAGAGGAAATAGACTAAGACGAAGGCTCTAAAGATTCAGTCATATGTGCATGAGATCGCACATTACCCCTCGGCCACATTTAGGGCGTCCAGTTAACTTTCAGCAAAACTCCCTAGTATGTCTGATTTTTCCACAATAGCCACACTTTAATGTTATCTTTGGCAGTGGTGCCACTCGACTCAATAAACTTGGACAAAGTTGAACTAAAGTCCCGCTAAGGGATCACAACTAATGCATACTGCTCTTAAATAGGTGTATGAACCATAGTAATCATCTTTTCCTCTTGCTGACCATAAGCATACGCCTCTCGTGGGATAGAAAATGGACTACAACCCAAAATCTGAACCCGAATCTAATCATACTCAATGTTAAGGCCACCAAGAAAATCATTCACACATTCTTTCTCTATTATCTATCTAAATTTTGCAGAAGCATCATTAGCACAGTTTGCTTGGAAATTCCGATAGAAGTCAAGCTCCTATCATAAGATAATCAACTCTGCATAATATACTACAAGAGTCTTACCCTTCTGGTTAGTCTCTTGGACTTTCTTCCAGAGATCATACGCCTTAACATCATTAAGCCTTTGAGAATATGTATATGTTATGGTTGTCCAAATCTTATGAGCTGTATCAAGCAACAGAAAACCACGACGGATAAAAGGTTTCATTGAATTAAGTAACAAACACAGAACCAGGACATTTTCAAATGTCCACTGCTTCAGTGGGAACTAGACTCACTAGGCCTCTTAGTCTCCCCAGTCAAATATACATTCAAAGAAATAGCTTAGACCGATAACAAGCAAGCCCGTGACCATGCCAAATAATTATACTCATCCAACTTCTCTAGACTAATTTGAAGTGAGGGGTTGCTTGCGAGAGCCACCTAAATGGCTCAACCCACTTCCTACGGTACTAATTGGGGTCACACTCCCTTCCAACATGTCCACACGATAGGATTGACACAAAACAGCAGTCAACAAGACAAAATCACAACCCAAAAAATTGGCCCACAACCAGAAACTACCACAGTCAGCACAAAGAGGATTCTGTGCAGAAGCCAGTAGTAACTCCAGGCCAAAACAGTAACAGATAGAAGAGAAGAAGGCAGAACAGTAGTAGAACTGGGTGCCGACAGGTCAAAAAGGGCTAAAAAAACTCACGAATCTAAACACAATCAAACTGCATGGGCATTGTATAAACAACCCTAGTCACACCTCACACACATGGATCGAACAAGAAACATCCCCTGGATTGCTTGGATTTCACAGATGGAAGCTTGAAATCGAAAAAATAAATTAAAAACATTCAAAAAATCGAAAGGCCAGCCAAATGACTTCAAAAAATTCCAAGAAAATACCCATAAATCTCAGCATAAGGAGCTCATTTTACACATGAAATTTCTAATTTTTCTGACAGTTTGGATGCTGACATCAACCTTACAGTTGCTGATGTCAGCAGTCAGCGAATACTGTTGCATTTTTTCAACGATCTCCGATGACTTTTCAACCTTTAAATGTAGATCTACCAAGTTAGAATGTGATGTAATTTTGGTTAGGAAGCAAATAGAAGAAGAAGAGATTAGGAGAAAGAGAGTAGTGTGTTAGAGTTAACACAAGTACACCTCAATATATATGACCACAAAATATCAAAATTAACCTTAAGGGTTAACACATTTAAATATAACATAACATAATACTCCCCCACTCTCTTAATTCAATTGGCATCCAAGACATAGACGTTGGTTTCCATATCGGTGGTTCTCTCATTTCTTGGCATGGTTCAACGTCGCAGTATCCAACTTCAACTCGGAGGGTATGAAGGCACATTAGTCGTGATATCGCAGCATAATATCGGCCAATATGTTCGAAACGGTAGATAAAAGGCCCCAAAAAATTCAAAAAAAAAAAAAGGCAACCATCACTATATATGCACCATATTCCCAAAATACATTAGTTAACACAATAAACATTGTGAAAATGAATTATAAGGACACTACAGAAAATATTACATTAAGAACCAAATATAACTAAATTTTAAGCATTAAATATGCTATATTGATTATTTTAAACATCCTAGTCTTTAATGTGTATACCAATTTTGAAAAGGTTGTGGTTCAAAGAATATAACCCTCGTTAGAGGACAATGAGGGATTCACGCAACTAATCTCAAAATAATATGGACAAAGTTTTGTTGTGTTGAATTTTCGTATCTTAAAAGTTATCTTAATCACTATTTTACTTCCTTCATACCAATAAACAACTAGACTTAGCTAACTTGTGGACAAAATGCTATCATTTGGTAACACTGTTTTTAAGTAACTTTTCTAAGCAAAGAATCAGTTTCAAAAAAAAAACAAGCACATTTGATCAGTATACATACACTTATGTATGTCCCTAGATGTACTACTATATAAATGATTAAATTTAGATGAACGAACCCAAACAATGAAAAAACAAACATTACTTTAAAAAAGGCACTTGAAAAAAGCAAAAATGTAACAAAGTACTTTAAAAAATTATCAAAACGGTATTTCAGATTTCCCAAGTAGTGGTGGCAAAAAAAAAAAAAACAGAGTCCTAGAGGTGCTGTAGAAGGCACGACAAAGAAATCTGGGCTGGATCATAACTCTAAACTTCACATTGACCAACATTGATGCAAATCATGGTATAATAAAGGGTCCGTAGCATTGAACAAGGAACATACTTCTTCTAAAACAGAAGCTAAGTCTTCCCTGGTTGGAGCATCAGCATCATCAATGCCAAGCAACCTCCTCCGCTCGACTTGTCTCGGGTCCTCAATCAAAATGGTCAACTTAACCTACAAAGACACCAAAGTTAACGATGAAATAAGTCAGGGAGTTGTGATATAGTGATTATTGATAAGGAAATGGCACCACCATTTTATAGAACAAAAATTAGCAAGAGAGAAAAACTAAATAAAACTAACAGTAGTAAAAGTATTAGAAAAGAAAAACAACCAAAATTTTGGTTAAAAAGAAGGAACTTATATAGTGGGCTGCTCAATGGCTACGAGAAAAATATTTTTAGGAAAATACTTTTTGAACTTAATTTGTGGACATAATTTAATAACATAATTCAATGCAACCATTGAATTAAAAGTACACTCTACTTAACATTGGAACATACAACTAATTCAATAGTTGAATTGACTTAGATCCCCAAATTAGATCCTATATGATGTAGAACCAGTGCCTCGCGGTTACTTGGAGCACGAAGACCGTCGTTTGTCCAAGGCTCAAAGAAAAGCAAAATGGTCAAAATATAGACAAAATAGCTCGGACTCAGAATTTGTTGAAACTAGTAGTGTTTGATATGGATCGGGCCAATAATCAAGACTCATCGCTTCGTTATGAGTTCTTTCAATTTCGGGTCGAATTCCATCGTTTAGGTCCTCAAAATCCCCTTTTTGTCGTTTTAAGAAAAAATTCAAAAATTAATAATAAATCATAAGAGATTTCGAATTCAGTGTCGTCACTAGGGTTAGACTACGGATGACATGTTCTTTTATGTTAATTAATTAGATTGCAATTTTTCGTTTTTTGTAATTTTCATATAATTAGGAATTTTACTTTTATTATGAGGACAATTAGGATTTTGGCCGTTCCTATATATATCTTCTTATGTAATACGAGTTATTTAATGAATAATATACATTTTTAAAGATATTCTCTTATTCTTTTCTCTGTGAATTCAGAGTTTATGTTCTTTACACATAGAATCATAGTGTTCTTCGTCTTCCTTTATTCCACTTCATCAATTGGTATCAGAGCCTTGACTAACCTGGTGTGATGACTAATAAACATATCGGTAACAATCTTCCTAATGACAGTGATCATGTGGGTAACAGTTCCAACAGCAACAGCATCAATTCCAATAGCTCCAGCAATCCGTTCAAGCAATGCATGAGTTGGTTGCTCAGTTGAAGATGAGCCCGAACCTGGGTCTCGATCAAGAAAGGGTAAAGAATGGCGATAGGGCTCATGTTCAACCCAATCAAGATTGTAATCTTGTCTATCCCGCATGATAGAATATTCATAGTGCACCTGCGAAAGGAGCGCCGATTGCAGATTCTAGCAATGATGAAGATGAGGTCTTGTTCAGGAATACCGCAAATTATAGGGATCCTAGTCGTGATACTAATGATTTTCATATGAAGGTCGATCTACCTAGTTTTAATGGTCATCTTCACATTGAAGATTTCCTTAATTGGTTGGCCAAAGTATTGACTATATGGATGTCCCGGAGGAGAAGAAAGTTAAACTAGTGGCCTACAAGTTGAAGGGTGAAGCTTTTGCATGGTGGAAACTGACCCAACTTGCACGTTCTCAGGAACGTAAAGCCTCGATTCGTGCATGGTCGAAGATGAAGTAGTTGCTGCAAATGAGGATTTTACCTCCTAATTTTGAACAAGTACTATTCTTGCAATATCAGGATTGCGAGCATGGTAGTCGATATGTTCAAGCATATCCAGAGGAGTTTCTGAGGCTTTCCTCCCATAACAATCTGACTAAGACTGAATCTCAAAAAATTGCTCAATTTAGTGGAGAGTTTTCCTACAGATTCTATACTCTTTGACATAAACGATTCACCTAGCCACAAGGGTTGAATCCTAGTTGGATTGGGCGAGAAGTCAGGGGAAGAATCAGAGTTCCTTTGATTCATCACGCCCGGTGGTGAACCGAGGAAAGCAAGTTATGTGCGCACCAAATACTAATTCAACCCTAATTCGAGAAACTAGCATCAATGGGATACCCGCAAGGACAATAACCTCGAGATCGGGTCCAATAGTTAATGATGCACCAAAGAATCCCTATGTCAGGCCTGGGGGAGACAAGTGTTATTGATGTGGTCAATCTGGCCATCAATGTAACTAGTGCACTAAAAGGGGTGCAATAAGTCTGGTTGACACTGAGGGGGTTGATTGAGAGGAAGACTACCCGATGGAAGAAGAGACTACAAAGGAGGAGGATGAAAGTGCATGGACTTAGGGTGATGAGGGGATCTCTCTCGTTGTTCGTCAGCTAATGTATACTCCCAAGATTGAATAAAATATTGAGCAATACAACATCTTTCAGACCATGTGCATTATGAATCAACAAGTCTATCAATTAGTTTTAACAGTGACACCAGTGAGAATATATGTTGTAAACTCCCACATTCATATTATCAAATATAAAAACGTAATTATGTTTTTAAAATGCTAATATACGTAGTGGAGTATGCATGAACTAAGTAGATGGTAAGAGTAGAGATAAAAATGTTAATAGTGTAGAATCGGGTAAATATTTTGTTCAAACTTAGTTTTGAATTGTAAAAATATGAAACCGTTTGCAATAGAACTTATATCAACTATGTTTGATGTACAAATGTATGTTGTATAAGTTTGGGTTGGTTTTGGAAGGATTTGGAATGAGTTTGAAATGAAAAATAGAGAAAATTGGCAAATTTGGACAGGACCTACCGGTAGTACGCTGTCCAGTAGGTCCGAACTACCGGTAGTCAACAGGTAGTAAATGTCCAGTAGATCCGAACTACCAGTAGTCAACAGGTAGTAAATGGCTAGTGAATCCGAACTATCGGTAGTCAACAGGTAGTAAATGTCCAGTAGATCTGAACTACCGGGAGTCAACAGGTAGTAAGTGACTAATAGATCCGAACTACGAGTAACTCAACAAGTAGTAAGTTGTCAGTGGATCCGAACTACCAGTAGCTCGATACGAACTACCGGTAGATCGTTAAAAATTCGGGATTTTCTGTTTTAAAACCCCAATTTTCACTCCATTTGCTCTCATTCTTTCACACCACTCTCACCCCACACCTCTTAGAACCCTAATGGAAAGACTTAGAGAGAAAGAGAAAATAAGAGTTTTAAGGGTGATTCAAGATCAAATCTTCTTGTCCTTCACACCAAAGCCAAGGAGAAAGGTAGGGGTTTTCTTCCTATTCTCTTACATTGAGGCTAAGGCTTAATTATATGTATGCTTTTGACTTTAAATCTTATATATAGGCTATAAAATCATTTTTTCTTGGTCTTTTACAATTATTAGCGTGTTTTAAACAAAGTTAGGGTTGAATACCCATGAAATCTCATTTTCTTGATATAAAATCCTAGTTTTCAAAAGAGATGGACTTTCTTCTTGATTCTTCCTTTGTTCTTGACTTTGAAACTTTAGTGTTTGGTGTTGAATAACAAAATAATATTGATGAGGATCTCTTGCATTTTCTTCAATTGTTCTATTGAAACACTACATGTGAAATTAGGGATTTATGAAATTATGTTATTTGAGGAAACTGTTGATATTGTATCTCTTGTGTGGTTGTTGGATAAACATGGGCAACTATAGACCGAGTATCTTGGAGTGTATAGATGCCTTTTTACTCCATATGGATTTAAACTTTTCCTACCACTCGTAGTTGGGTTAGTGCATTGCGAGGACTAAACCATTATCGCTCATGAGGTATTATGGAAAAAAGAGTAAGTATACTACTCTTTGGTTGGATACGTCACTGTCATGGTGTTGGTATACGCATTTCCTAAAGGTTGGATATCCTTGCGATGATTTGTACGGATTGTACGTGGGCCAAGATATATTTGATGGTATTCATGCGAGGTCTTACTTCATACCAAATATACAAATACAGTGGTGGGTTATTGTTCATTGTACCAGAAATAATTTCTACAAGAATTTTGAGAAGTATGGGATTCCGCAAGAGCTTGGGAGAAACGGTTTATGGTGGAATGGATTATTAGTTGTATATTGGTTTCACTTATGCATTAAATTACTATTGTTGCTTAAACTTGAGATCTATTTAAATGTCCATGTTTTATTACAAAATTCATATATGCTATTTGTGAAAGGTGACCGACCGTTTTTATATGTTTTTCTAAACCTTGTTCGAGTTTGAGAGGAATGTTGCTACAGAGTTTAGTGATCACCCCCTACAAACTATGTTTTTCAATTGTGGTTTAGAGGAAGAGCTTGAGATTGAGGAACCAACACATTGGGAAGCTCCACTAGACAGGCTCACGGATCCCGAGGTGGATGTCTAAGTTATACTCTCCTAGGTGATGGACTAGGAAATTTCTTTTAGGACTATATAAAGACTAGTCTTTTGCTATTTCGCTGCAAGTTTAAATGTGAATCTTTTGGGATGTAATTATCATAGTCGATCACATTCTTTGGAGATGTAATGGTCATGGTTGACCTATTCCTTTGGAAAAATATTGTAAATGTTATATTTGATGAATGAAACTTCTTTAATGATAAATTTATTTAGTTGCTCTTAAGATGTGAATGATTTATAGATTGTAATGTCGTCTAAGGTGGGTTTTGGGGCGTTACATATGTCAAAGGAGGTTATTGATTAGCTGCAATTTCGGACTAAGCAACACTCTTCTCCCTATACCATTGACTAAATCAAGAGCATGGGCGAGACTAAGATAACATAACAATGTCGTATCAATTTTTCAATTGGAAAATATAAAGATGATATTGTATGTGATATTGTGGATATGGATGCGTTTCTTTTTTTATTGGGGAGGCCATGATAGTTAGATGTAGCTGTTGTCCGCGGAGGGAAAGACAATACTTACACATTTTTTAAAGATAGTTTCAAGGTTGTTTTTACCCTCACTGGGATAGAGGTTGTCTCGTAGCATCTCCAGTTAAGAGCGGGTCCTTTCTTGTGGTAGCGGCTATTAAAGGGGATATGAAAGAAAGTGGAGAGGTGTATGCCCTAGAAGTGAAGGATGAGGAGGTAAGGGCAGTTGCAGTGTTGTGAAAAGCGAGCCTAGGCGAGCGCCTAGGCAAGAATCGAAGCGAGCCTTGAACATCCAAGGCAAAGAGAGGTTAAGTAAAGCAAGGAAAAAGAGAGCTTAAGCGACGAGGCGAAGAAGCGAGTCAGGCGAGAAAAACGAACGCCTACCTGCAGTTTTTTTTTCTCCTCCTCCTCCTTTAACATTAACCAAACCCTAATAGAAATAATGTTATATGCGTATATATATAAAAAAAATTGATTAATTCGTGTAACAGTATCATATGACAACATGTCTTATTATGATTAGATAATGTTGAACGCTTTGTTTTGATGTGAATGCTCTTGTTAATCAATTTGCTACTGTATTTGATTAATTAATTTGTGAGTGCTTTGTTTAGTAGTGATATTAATCAATCACGGTGGAAGTTGAACCCACATTTGTTAACTTTATATTTAGATGACGTGATTATGTCAATTGATTATTTTTAAAATACAATATTGTTCAATATTTAATATCTTGTCTATTTAAAATATGTTGATCTTTATTAATTTAATTGCATTTAAATATTTTGTATTTGTAAAGTTAAAATTTGAATATTAAGGAATAATCAAAGTATGAAACTAAAATATTTACTTATTTTTTATATTGTTCATTTCGTTTCACTAAAGCGCTCGCTTCGCTTCTCAGTTAGGCCTTCAGGAGCCCAGTTCACTTTGATTCGCTTTACGCCTTAAATAACACTGGGCAGTTGACCGTACACCAATTCTTGATGTGTTAAGGCCATTGTTGGCTAACTTTAAGGGGATCATGCCAGAGAAGTTACCGGATAGTTTACCCCCTCTGAGGAACATATAACATCATATTGACTTGGTACCTAAGGCCAGTCGGCCAAACTTACCCCATTACCGTATAAGTATCAAAGAGTTTAAACTCCTAAAAGATCAAGTTGATGAGTTATTGCGAAAGAGGCAGATTAGGATGAGTATGAGCCCTTGCACTGTCTCTGTTCTACTCACTCTTAAAAAAGATGGGAGTTGGAGAATGTGTGTTAATAGTCGGGCTATTAACAAAATTACTATGAAGTATTGATTTTCTATACCTCGATTAGATGACATGCTAGATATATTGGAGGGTGCCGAGATATACTCTAAAGTTGACTTGAAGAGTGAGTACCATCAGATCCGCGTTCATCCAGGTGATGGTGATGGTGATGGTGATGAGTGAAAGTCTACCTTCAAAGCTTAGGAGGGCCTATATGAGTGGTTGGTTATGCCCTTTGGTCTCTCCAATGCCCCCACCACTTTTATGAGGATTATGAACCAAGTGTTCAAGCCTTTCATTGGAAAATTCGTGGTCGTTTACTTTGATAATATTCTTATTTATAGCAATGATGAGACTGACCATTTGTAACACTTAGAGAGCAATTTTTACAGCTCTGCTGAAGAATAGCTTGTTTGTGAACTTTAAAAAGTATAGTTTCATGACTGATAGCCTTGTATTCTTGGGCTACGTAGTTAGTGCCACCAGTATCTCTGTTGATGATGAGAAGATTTGGACTATCCAAGAGTGGCCTACATCATGAACAGTCGGTGAAGTTCATAGTTTTCATGGCCTTGCAACCTTCTATCGGAGGTTTGTGAGGAATTTTAGCACTATTGCAGCACCTCTAATTGATTGTCTAAAACAGAAGCAATTGCAATGGACTCGTGAAGTAACAAGGAATTTTGAGATAGACTGTGATGCTTCTTGTACCAAAATTTGAGCAATTTTGTCGCATGAGGGCAGACCCGTAGCATTCTTCAGTGAGAAGCTTTGCGAGGCCAGACAGAAGTGGTCTACATATGAGCAAAAGTTTTATGCAGTTGTGAGTGCCTTGCAACACTGGCAGCATTACCTGATTAAGATTAAGTTTATTCTGAATACAGATCAACAAGCGTTAAAGTATCTCAATAGTTCTACTACTACCAACCGCATACATGCCCGATGGGTTGCTAAAATTCAAAAATTCACCTTCTCCCTCACCCTCAAGTATACATCTAGCCAGTTGAACAAAGTGGTCGTTGCCTTGAGTCGTCGGAGTATGTTGTTGACCACTATTCGTAGTGAGGTGATCAGGTTTGATTACTTAAAGGGTTTATACGCAGATGATGAAGACTTTCAGGAGATGTGGGCTCAATGTTTCGATACACATGGAACCTTAAAAGACTTTCATATTCATAATGGATTTTTATTCAAAGCCACTTGGTTTTACATATCCAGAGGATCCTTGCGTGAGCATATCGTTCGAGAGTTGTACAGTGATGGCTTAGGAGAGCATATAGGCCGAAATAAAAGTGTGGCTTTGGTAAAAGAACGTTATTTCTGGCCACAACTGAAGCGGGATATGAGTGATTTGTCAAGCAATGCTACACATGTCAGACTATCATGGGACATGCGCAGAATATTGACCTCTACACTCTCTTCCCATTCCAAATGCACCATGGGAAGATATGTCCATGAATTTTGTGTTGGGTCTTTTGTGGACACAACAAGGTGTGGATTCCATTTACATTGTTGTTGATAGGTTTTCTAAGAGGGCTCACTTCATTCCATGTAGGAAGACCTCAAATGTTTCTCATCTGGCTCATTTTTTCTTTCGGGAGGCTGTTCGTTTGCATGGCATCCCGAAGACCATCACTTCTGACCGAGACAAAAAGTTCTTTGGCCACTTTTGGCGCACTTTATGGAAACCATTGAACACTTCATTGCAATATAATAGTTCAAACCATCTACAGACTGATGGGCAAATTGATATGGTGAACCGGATATTGGGGAATAATATGCGGAGTCTTTGCAAGGAGCACCCGAGGAAATGGGATAACACCTTGTACCAAGTTGAGTTTGCTTACAACTATATTCCCAATAGGTCTACTGGCAGGTCCCTTTTCAGATTGTCTACATCCGGACACCTACACATACACTTGACCTAGTTTTCGTACCCAAGCTTTCGAAGATGAGCATTATAGCTAAGCACATGTTGGAGAAGGGGACAGATATGCATGCCGAGGTGAAGCAGTAGTTGGAGAAGTTAATGGCCAAGTATAAGGATAAAGAAGCAGCAAACAAGCATCGCCGCCAGAAGCTTTTCGCGGTGGATGACATGGTGATAGTTCATTTGCACAAGGTGCGCTTACCCGTGAGGACTTATAACAAGTTGAACCAAAAGCAGATTGGCCCTTTTCAGATCTTGAAGAAGACCAATGAGAATGCTTATATTGTTGATCTTCATGCGGATATGGTCATCTCTAATACTTTTAATGTGCAAAACTTGTTCGAATTTCATTCTGATTATATAGAGCTTCCTCAAGTTAACTCGAGAACAAGTTGTTTTCAAGAGAGAGAGACTGATGTAGAACAAGTGGCTGTTGATTATTTGGAGCAGAAAGACCGTTGTGTGTCCAAGGCCCAAAGAAAAGCAAAAAAAGTGATAGTAAAGGCAAAATGGTTCAAACTCATAATTGATTGAGAACAATGGTGTTTGATATGGATCGGATTAACAATCAAGACTCATCGCTTCGTCATGAGCTCCTTTAGTTTTGGATCGAATTCTATAGTTAAGGCCCTCAAAATCCCTTTTTTTTACCATCTAAGAAAAAAATTTGAAAATTAATAATAAATATAGGAGATTTCAAATTTAGTGTCGTTAGCTGGGTTGGACTCTAGAAAACATGTGCTTCTATGTTAGATTGCAATTTTTCATTTTTAGTAATTTTCGTATAATTAGACCTTTTCCCTTTATTATAGGGACGATTATGGTTTTAACCGTTCCAATAGATATCCTCTCATATATTACGAGGCATTCCGTGAATAATATATCTTTTTAGAGATATTCTGTTATTCTTTTCTCTCCAAATTCAGAGTGTCTTTTTTACACTTAGAATCATAGTGTTCTTCGTGTTCATTTGTTCTGCAGCATCACTATAACATTACTATTTCAACTATGTAGGATTGAAACATGTCAAGTGACTGGGTCGATTAGAATTGAGGATAACTCTTAACACTTATATGATAGATTCCAAAAATCTAACAAACTCGTTGAATCGTAATTTTGACTTTTGACTTCTTAAAAAAATTAGTATGATACCGAGATTCCTTAAAAGAAAAAAAAAATTATGAAGCAAAGGGAAAGGGAAGAGAGAGAAATACCTCGCTAAAAAGCATGTCTCGGTTTCTCCTGAGAAGCTCCAAAACCTACCAAAACGTTTGGTTCTAAGCAACATTAGTGGAGGAACTGAAGAAAATGGAAACTAACTCCGGACAAGAAACATTCACACCACATACACACACAATGAATAACAGAAATAGGGTGGACTAACGGCACGCAACTCTCTTGATTTGGGAGACGTATTCGACGTCTTGGGGATCAGGGTCTGAGTCGTTGTTTTGCTGGGCTTCTTGGGTGGAAGTGACACTCACTTCGGTGTCTTCCTTACCAACAAATGCACGTCCTGCACTACTTATACTTCTCTTTATCCTCCTCTGGCGCAAGAAGGGTGGACGGTGCTGGTGGCAGAAGCAAAGGGTTGGGAGGGCGGACGAAAAGGTGGAGGTGGAGGTGGAGGTGGAAGTGGAAGTGGTCGATAAGGGTACCGCAAATGGCAATGCGAAAAGGTGCAAAGCCATTTTATACGTATCTATCAACTGTCTCTCTACGTGTATGTATCTATATATATATAAATTGATATGCTATTGGCATTTTAAAGTACTCATGAAAGAAAGCTGATTCCCTAATGAGTCCGAGTGCTGGTCTGCGGGAGAGATGGAAGGAAATTCACTTCCAAGGAAATGCAATTGTGAAAGAGTAAAGGAGTGGCGTTGGCTGGCCCAGCTTCTCTCTTGTGATTTGGGTTCAAAATCGCTTCAATTGTCTACTAACTTATAAGTGGCCACCAGAAGACATCGATAAGGTCGCACTGATTTGACTCGACTCAACTACTACTCATTCGAGTGAACACGGTATTCTGACGAAAAAAAAAAAGAAAGAAATAGTCGCAGAAATGACTTCCGGTCTCAAAAGATTTTTTTGCTATGTATTCCCTTGCAATTTATTTTTGTTTACAGAGGTAATTAAGGATAGGAATGCAACTTGGACACATTGACCCGAATTCAGCCCGACCAATATGGTACTTGGAGGAAATTTACAGTAATCACCTAATCAGATTGCTTACTAAAAAAAAGTTAATTATATTGGAGATTCCTAAAATATGAGATTATTTTATTTTGATTCATAATATTTTAATTGCATCATTTTTGTCCCTTAAATATTGAATATATTTTTATGTGATCCCTCGTACAGAAAGTATTTAGATTGCTAACGATTTTTTATTATAAACTTATCACGTAATACCTAAATATGTGAAAAAAAATAATTTTGATAACTATTGACCAAATTTTTACCTAAATTTTGGTCAAAGAGCTACCGAAATTATCTACTTTTAATCATGAGTTATCCAAAATTTAGTCAAGAGCTATTCACATTACACATTTTTTGGTCAATAGTTATCCAAATTTTGGTGAAGAGCTACCCAAATTATTTTTTGTTCATAAGTAGGTATCACGTGATAAGTTTATGATAAAAAATCGTTAGCAATTTGGGTGTTGTCTATTTGAGGGACCACATAGAAACATATTTAATATTTCAAAGACCAAAATAATACAATTAAAATATTATAGACCAAAATGAGATAAATTCTACACTTTGAGGATCTTCAATACAATTAACCAAAAAAAAAAATATCCAACAACCAATTGCACATTGAATCCTGAAATATTTAAAAAATCTATTTTGTACTTTCAATGTATTAAAAGTATTGTTTGCATTACTCATTCTATCAACGTCGATGGGATGGTTTTTATGGAATAAGAAATGGAAGGGCCGCATTATACTACTTTTATTATATTGATGATGTAATGTGAGTAATCTAATTTTTTAGGGTGCAAAAAGTCAAAAATCTTAAATTTTTTGATGTGCAAAGTGAATTTCTCCCGAATTTGAATATAGGTAATTTCGGATTATGGTGTCGAGTTACCCAACTCAATCCCAATTGCATAAAATTGTGTGTGTTCAACGCAAATATTACATAATATATACTATATGAGAAAAAATGGGAGAGAGAAAAAGAGGTTTCTCACTTCTACATCCCTCTTCCCTCTTTTGCAGTGTGTGATCTCTTATATACACTTTCCATCAATTTTCTTCATTATTCTTTCACCTATCATATATGGATGGGCCCATTTATAAATAGTGTGCTCAATGCGAATGCATTTTGGGTAACTTATCATTGATGAAAATTAAGAAAAAAGTGAATTGGATGACATCTAAATCCCTCCTCATTCCCCTCCTCTTCTCCCACCGTTCCCACAACCACCATGAACGTCCTGAATAGAATTAACAGACTCACTGTCTATGCTTAGTTGTTTACCCACATTTCTCTCTATTTCTCTCATTTTGTTCCTCTATCGCCTCAAATCCTAACTCCTCTTCCAAACCCTAACTGGCAAGTTCAACCACATTTCTCTTATTTTTTCTCTCTATATCTTCAATTCTTAACCCTAGATTTTTCTCTTCCGACCAAACTCTAGATTTTTCACTTATGTAGAAATTTTTCCTAGATTTTTTCTCTATCAATCATCATCAACCTAAACGACTTTTATGTGAAACCCGGAACACTGAACAACCACAGGGAATAGTCCAGCCCAAAAACTCTAACATCACATAAAATTAAAAGCATAATACTTAACACTTATAGCTCAACCTAAAAGAATGAGTTGTAATAATCATACTCTTTTTTCATCTTCTCCTAATTGCACAATTGACATCCACTTGCATCTAACTCGCACCAACAATGTGTTTTTTAAATCCGGAACGTCGACAAACCTTAGGATAGTCATATGGATCAAATTGAAGATTCTTAGTGGTAAAATCGTAAATTTTGAGAAATTCAAAATAGCCCGTGAACAGTATTTTTCGGGGCTACTATGTTTTAAACTCATTTGCTCTCATTTCCTTCACTCCCCGAACACCTCTTGAAACCCTAGAGGGCATTAGAGAAGAAGAAAGGAAGGGAAAAAAAAGAGATTCAAGGGTGATTCAAGATCAAATATTCTTGTTCTTCACTCCAAAACTAAGGATTCAAGGTAGGGATTTTCTCTCATTCACTTACATTGAGACTAGGGTATTTATATGTGTATGTTTTAACTATCAATGATATATATATGCTATGAAATCATCCTCTCTTAGGCTTTTTGCAAGGATTACATGTTTCGAATAAAGTAGGGTTTAATACCCATGAAATCTCCTTTCTAGTTTTAAAACCCTAATTTTTGGAGAGTGGTGTATTTTCTTCCTAAATGTTTTCTTTATTATGGATTTCGAAACCTTAGTGCTTTGTGTTGGGTAGAAAAATAATGTTATTGTGATCTCATGTATTTTCTTAATTGATTTGTGGAATTGTTATATGATATATTTTAAAAATTTTGGATCGATGCTTGTAAATTGAGATAAATATTGGAATTATATGCTTGGTTGGGTTGTTTGTGATGCACATGAGTGAGAGGTTCCTTGTAAGGATGCTCAACCCTTTCCAAGAGGTTCCTGGTAAGGATGGTTGGGAAATAATGTAGTGATTAGTGAGAGGTTTCCATGTAAGGATGCTCATCCATTTTCAAGAGGTTCCCAATAAGGATGCTTGAGAATCAAAAGTGACCTAAAGGGAGTGGAGGTTGCCACAAAGTATGCCACCTACCGAAAGAATTGTTGGGAATTGGTTATGACAATTAATGATTATTATTTGTATGTGGTGCTCGTTTATTCATTTAAGTAATATTTTTAAATAAACTTGAAATCATTTTTAAATGTCACTGCTTTATTTCAAATTATGTATCTATGTTATGTTAAAATTGAGACCGACCGTTTTAAATTCTTTTATAAACCTTGTATGAGTTTGGGAGAATTTTTCTACAGAGTTTCGTGCTCACCCCCTATCGCTAACATTTTTCAGATTATCCACTTGAGGAAGAGGATGTAAGGGTCAAGGAGCCCGCTACTTGGGAGACTCCACTAGACGGGAGTGTGGATCCCGAGGTGGACGCATAGAGCGACCTCCTTTCCTTTTGTACTAGACTAAGACATTCTTTTGGAACATTGTGTAGTATAACTTCTTTTGTTTATTTCGCTGCATTTCTTTAATTAATTTTTGAAATGTAATAGCCATGACTTGGGCTTATTGTTTTGGATAATGTTGTAAATATTCGTGGATGACAAATAAAGTCTTGTTTCTTAAGGGATTATATTAGTGCTCTCATGATATGAATGGTTTTAGAATGTAATGCCGTCCAGGGTGTGTTTTGGGGCGTTACAAGACCCAACTGATCAAGTAGGGAAAATCAGATATTTTCCCCTATTTAAGTCTTTAATTGCGAGGTCCACGTTGCACCGGACGTTTCTTATTTTCAGGTCTCTTTTTGTCCCGAAACGACTTAATTTCATCCTGGTTTAAGTTCAAATTATTTATTTGAATTTTTCTTCAATTACAAGGAAATTTTATAAATTTTATTTTTAGGGACGTTTGTGAGGTCACCCAACACCTAGTTATCTCGTAAAACGTAAAAAATTCGACTATTTCAGAATTCAATAAAAATTGACAGGATAACTAGATTTTGTGAGACGAATCCAACGGAGAGGTTTGTTGCATCATCTGAGCTCTAGAAAAATACAGATTTTTAATCCTCATTATAGTGGCAAAAAACCGTTTTGCCATTTTTAAGAAAAAGTTCAAATTTATCTGGGTTTTACAGATGTAGAACTAAATTGTTAATTTTTTTATTTTTATTTTATTTAATTGTGTTGTTAGAATTAGAATTTAATTAGGAGTTTTGTAGGATATTTAGTTTCTAACTTGTCAACTTTCCTAATTCCGTTAGACATATGTTTTTTTTTCTTTTTTGGTAACTTTCTTAGGATTAGGAATTTATTTCTATTATGAAAACCCCTTATGGTTTTGGAATTCCTATAAATTATCATATGTACTACAAGTTCTAATAAATTAATTGAATAATATTGTATTTTGAGAGATTATCTTCCTTTTCTTTATAGATTTAGAGTATTTTTTATTTTTTACACTTAGAAACAATGATTTATTTGTGTCCTTCATATACCACTACATCAATTGGTAACAGAGCCATGACTAACCCATCATGATTTCTAATCAACGAAGTCATGGCTACTTTTTTCGTGACTGTAACCATGGAGAAAAGGGTTCTTTCAAGAACCGAATTCTTGAAGTTTAAGGAACAACAACAACAACAATTCCAGCAAATCCAACATTTTTTGCAAGAATTGCTTATTATGGTTGCCTAGTTGACATTGAGTTCGAACCAGGATCTCGATCAAGAGTGTGTGCGGAATGCTAATAGGACTCGTGTTTAGAGTACAACTAACTGAGTATCATCTATTGTACTTTCCAATGATGTTGAGGAATCATCTCTATATCAAGATACTTTGAGTGAGAGTTTTTCAAATAGGGGACATAGAGATTTTGCAATTCAGAACTGCAAAAGTTTCGTACTTTGTCAATTTGTACCAAGAATTAAGATGGCCAAACTAGTACAACTTGAAAGCTTTT